TCAGGCAATGATAAAACAGTTGTACAATGTGTTATATAAAGTACCGGGCTAGGATGTTATTTTATTTATATATTTTTCTGTATAAAGTTAGCTTGATTTGTGTTTTGTATTTTCTTTCGAACTGAATTGTAAGAAGGGGGCTACCTTTCATATTGCAAGCTAGACTGGATCTCGTCTACTATCGCGGGACTTTGTACAATCTACGAGTTCTTGAGTGCACTGGGAAGGGCACTCTGAATGGCTGGATTCCAGGCTACCTGCCAACAAAAATGATGTCATTTATAATAATTCATAAGTGGTTTAGTAATATTGAAAATTTAACATCTCCAAAAAGATTGAGTGGAATATTGACTCAGTGAGTAAAAAGATGCAGTAAAGCTGCAACATTGCTGTAAATGTTACAAAAGATACCTAAAACTGAGGTTATACGAAAAGGTTTCAGAGATTATATTTTACCCCGAAACAGAAACAAATTGGTAATTCCGATCTGTCAGAGCCAGTCCGCCTCGGTGACACAAAGAGCGGTCACAGATGTAAAAGAGAGCATGTGTTCTGAAACCCCTATCCAGATTTACGCAGCCGATCCCAAACACTTGTTTCTGAATGTTGCTATACAAACGATTGCGTGGTTATGGTAAATTTAGGAGTGGGATATTAGTGAAAACCACATGGTTTGAAATCATAGCGGGCTGCCGCATCTGCAGTTTTCGTCATTTCCCCCAATATTGCTAGCTACGGTACAATAAGTTGTAATACAAATGATGTCATATTTGTAAACAGTACATATTTTATCGTTTAAAACACACTAAAATAATGCCAATTTTGTAACATGAACCTTATAAGACAATATATCATTTTTAAAGGGCGTTGGTCGTCGCGCTGTGCATGTGCGACACTTATAAACATTGGTTTTCCCACAATCCAATGCGCTCTTCTGATGAAAATCACAAGTACGAGGTTTGACCTGGGCGCGACTTGCACTAATTACCACCAGAGACTCCTTCGATACCTTCCAATCACCTAAAAATATACTTAATTAAAGCTTGGTAACGACTCAGTGTATACTCGTTGATCTGCGCGACAGTCAAAGTCGCCATCTTTTTTTATATGAGACCCATATATATCGCGCATGCGTGGCGGGACGACTACCGCCCTTTAAAAGGGCGATGATCGTCGCGCCACGCATACACGAGATATGAAACTCATATGAACAAAAATAGCGACTTTGACTGTTGCGCAGACCAACGAGTACAAAACCTGTACCGCCCTTTAAGATAATAAGAAATATGCTTGCCATTGGAAACAATTGCGGGGGATAGAGTACGCACTTTCGGGATGACAACAAGAAGTCAAAATGTGGATGCAAAAACATGGCAAGGTTTATTGCTTAACCAACTGACATAGTAACAGCTTACAAAAGAAAATGAACCTCGAATCTACGAAACTAGCAATTTATATAGTTGCTTTGCGAATGTAATAGAAAACATGCAGGCGGCAAATATAAATGAGTAAAATGTGCGGGGAACCAGATAACGAATGAGATGATCGGTAAAAAATATCTCAGCGCTCATTGGCTGAAATTAAGTGATTCTCATTGGTCAAGAGTTATTTAGAAGAATCCTTCATACGACTACGAATTAACTACTATATACAAATGAGAATATTAATAGTAATATTTAACGAATAGAAAAAAATTATGAATATCCGACGATTGTAAGAAAATAGTATGGCCAAAAACAGGCAAAACTAGCTCTGTGCACATGTATTTAAAAAAAAAAAAACATGCTATTTTCATTCCATTTTGTATTTCATTTTCCTTGTAGAATGAAGTCTCGCCTCTGCTAAAAATAAAGGAAAAGACATTATTTTCACTGAGTGTTGCAATGCAATTAAAGCACAAAAGAAGCAACCGAATTTGAAGCTGACCTTTGACACACCGCGTTACCCAAGAAGCTTTGCGTGGTAAGGAGAACCCAACATGGCGGATCTTCTAAGCATTCTGCGGCTATACAACATCGAGAAAAAGGAGATCGTACGAAAAGATGACCAAGTTATATTGGGTGATTTCGCTTGGCTGAAGACAGCAAAGACAAACTTCACGATATGGGGGTAAGTAGGTTATGTATTCTTGTGATTTGCCAGTTTTAGCAGTTTCTAAACATACGTTTTGTCAAACGTAACTTGTCTGCTTTGCTTGTTGTTGAATTACTACCTCCAATAATCAAGTCAAAATAAACATTTCTCATGCTTTCTAAACGTAATGACGTCACATATCTATGTTATCGAAACGTTTCCAAATCTGTGTTTACCTTGACATTGTTTTGTAGAAAAAATAAAACCTGACCATCGCAAGTTTCGTAACGGAACCAGTATTGTGCAGTACTTTTAAAATCGCTCTTGAAGTGGCTTCCTGTTTTCTCGTATAACAGTAAGGTTCTTCCCACAAAATGAGACTTTCTCCAAGTCGGTTGATCGCCAGGAGATTTCAACCGCTACTTAGACCCTTAATATGAAAAACTACTATACCAGTTAAGAATTGAAAATCTAGTCATTTTAAGACCAGCCTATGACTGTAAACAGTGTGGTAACAACCTTGTGAAAGATAAAACTAATTTTCTGGTAGAATGTTCAAAATACAACATTTTTTTGCCAAGACCTACTTTCACAAATTATTTAAATTACTGACAAATTTATATACCTAATGTAGCTAATGACATGAATACATTAGCCAATGTTGCACACTACTAAGTACATGTATTCATGAAAACTTCTTTTCTTTTATTTTACATTTCATATTTAAGTACTTGTTTTTTCATAAATAGTTATTGCTACATACTGTTAGAAACTTGTATTTCGAAAGATACAACAAACTATATTATTATTATGGAAACTTTCCAGCACAACTTGTTAATATATAGCCATAATATAGAATGTATATTAACAAGGAACAAATCTCTCAGTTTGGTAGAAGTCTCCTTGTAAATGTGTTTACTGTATTGTTTATGCATAACCCAGTAGTATTATATGTAATCTAATGTATGCAGCTGAGAGTCGTACATGTTTAGCTCTGTGTACAGGTATGTGAATGTGTATGCGCTTGTTTTCATTGGAACCTTGCCGGCTCGTCGCATGCAGCCCTATTAACATCCATAGTCATTTTCCAAACACTGAGCATGTCATACAAAGTGTTTATTTTGGGAGTAATCTAAACCTTAATACGCCAAAAGTATCATTGATACTTCCTGCTGTCACATGAATGCAATCGTCGATAAAAATTTCATGAATTGTGCATGATTCAAGATGGCTGCCATGTTTTGTTGACATTTTTTCATTTATGATCACGAAGTCAGGGAGTAGGATGGTGTTTTACCGTTCCGGTCGTTTACTGCACCAGCCGGTGTTTGACTGTACCGACTACACAATTAGCGGTACTGACAGGTCTGATTATTTATCACCTTTGATTTATGAATGCTCGGGTAACTGATCTGATCTGCGCTGTGTCAGTAACCATGACTCATGCATAAATTAATTGACTTGTATGATTGAATGTTGGCTTCCATAACGTCCGACTCAAGGTGTTTTAATGATTTGTTTACATTTTGCCACTAGCTCTTACAGTGAAAAGAAAGTCAGACGATGATACATGAATGAAAAAAAAAATGCATCTTTCTGTAATTTTTCCATATGTTGAA